TCCGCGTGGCAACCAGGAGAATTGGAGTCGAACGCCAAAGGAAAAGAAGTAAGCGACCACCAGGCACTTTAACACAATAAATGAATGACTATGATCAAAATGTATCGAAATGCAAGAGACGAGTATACTAATCTCGAATCTTTGACAAAATTTAGCTTTTATTGCTCCAATCTTCCAAAATCAGGCCATTTTTACCAACTTCTTTCACTGGAGACAGATTGGCTGGAAATTTATTTGGATTTGGCTGAAAATTTGTTACACGGGGCAGTTTGTCCTCCAAAAGATCAATATTGCAGCCCATTGGCCTGAAAATGTTTGTCCTCAACTGATTCTTGGAAAGAAGATGAAGCAATTGCAGAATTTGAGTTATATGATAGCTTTCGGACAGCACTGGGAACCCCCTCCCATAATGAACACGAATCTCGCAGTCACTTGCCTTGAAACTGCCTTGCGCGGGTGTCAGGCAGTTTCAGGAAAGAAGACCGACTGTGGTATTCGTTCCAGAGGGACAAGCTACCTCTAGGGATACGTTTCCAGCGAACTTGGCTGTTCGTACATCTTTATTATTAAAAAATATAGTGGCAGACACCATTGTCTGCCATCGTCGTCAACGTGTTCAGGCATGGGATAGAAAGACTCAAGGAGGCGATCTACAATTCAACGGTTTTTTTTCTCCCAAACGAGCTGTGCTATACTGCACTGTTCAGAAGGGTAGATGGCTTGATCATATAGAGAGGGCCTACTCTGGATTTAAGGAAAAACCTACCAATCACGGTTGCATCCTTCTGGTATGTAGTTATCAGGACGAAACAGACGGTAGAGTTGTGCGGTCGCTGAGGAACTGCTCAGGAACAAGCAGATTCAAAGATACTGTAGACCATCTACGAGTTAGAATGTGATAGGTGGGAAAATTGAAAGCACATTTGCGGTGAAAAACTCTTCCTTAAATATGTAGAGGCGACGCAGGACTGCTCGAACTTGACTCATTAATGCACTCTTCCTTCACTAGATGGTAACGAGGAAAGTATCAACGAACAAAAGCGACGCCCTACCAAAGCTAATAGAGTGCCTTTTGAAAGCAGGAGGTCGAAACTTTACGCTGTCTGCATTATTATATTAAATTTGTGCCTGTCGAACAGTTTCGTTTTCAAGGAGTAGGAGTCTCAGGGAAATAAAAGCATGGTGGTGATTGCTGGCAGTCGAGAGTCAGTTAATGCTTCATTCACTGATGGAATGCCCGAGGTTGTCTCGTATCACACAGTAAATGCGACTCTTGGGGCACTAGGAACTGCTGTGAATATGCTTCTGCTCGTCATCTTTGTGGCGTCTGCCAGTATGAGGAAAAAATCTGAGGTAATCATTTTTTGGGAAGTATTCTCATAAGAGTAGCTGTGCAGTGTCCATAGAAACTGTTTCCATTCACCTTCGAAGAAATTTGATCCGTCATACATGCACCTTTTTTTGAAGAGTTTAGTCATTCATATAAACGTAGCACCCCAGATTATGAACATTGGGTTGAGCAATAAGTTCTGGCAGACATTAGAGACCAAGGTATAGGCACTAATTCATTCATTTGTTAGCCCAGTCAGTGTACAAGAAAATTACTTGGTCATCCTGTAGAAACAGTCAAAGAGTTGAGTACGATCGCGCAGTCACCTCCGAAGACGGTCCTTTTCATGTACGAGGTGAACGGGTCCGCAGCTGTAGTGCCGTGTCACTTTCTACGGTTAAAAGTGAGTGGGAACGGGGCTGGAGGGTCGTAATGCCCAAACGCTGTCTCCATACTCTGCCCGCGCTATCCTCTTAGAACTTAGTATGTGTAGCACCAGGGCACGCCGTCGCGTTGTGATCATTTCCTGAAAAATACGACCCCCCCCCCTCCCTCCCCATGCTACCTACCACTTTCCTAGATTTTCCCAACTTCCTACCACTTTTTCCATTTTTCCCGAAAATTTCCAGTTTTTCAGCCAAGAATTTTCCGTCGAGCGGGGAGGGGGGGTATATACCCAATGTGAAACAGGAAAATTTCTCAGATTTTCCCTAACCTCCTACCAGTTTTTCCGAAATTTCCCGAAAAATTTCTGGTTTTTCCCCAAAATTTTGCTGTCGAGCGGGGAATTTTGCGTTAGCGGGGGGGGGGGGGAGGGGGTCGTCAGGATTTTATTATCATTTTCAACTGTCGGAAATAGTAGTTGTATAGATCTTGGCAATCCCAACAGCGACCAAACACGACCCCCCCCCTCCCCTCATCAGAACGACGGCGTGCCCTGGCGTCGACACCAAGATCCCGCAGCGAAACATGCCTTGAGGGTTAGAGAAGAATTAGGTGTGAACTTCGCAGACAAGGTGCTATTTTCAGGCGTGAGACCGACTCTGCAGCGCGCGAAGGAGTGTGGAGACTGCGCTCGGGTATTAGCGCAGTTAGCTGCGGAGCAATTAGCATCGCACATGGCAAAGACCTGGTCCACGGAAGTGAGTATAGGTGGCTTGGAAGGCAACGCCGAAACACTGAACCTAGAGGTAAGGAACTTGTCGGCGACGATTCTAAAATAGTCAGATCGAGGCGCACACCTGGAGAGCGGGTATTATTCATCGAGGAACTATGGACTGTGGTGTTCTCTATGGTGGGCAACGTTCCCCCCCCCTACCCTTTTTTTTCTTCCCACCTTCTCGCGGCGGTGCAGACCGTGATGGAGAGCTCACGCAGCCCACCGATAGCGTAGGATCGACTTGTAATCAGATCGTTCAAAGTGCCAGAAGGCGAAAAAGTTTTCGCAGTTATTTTCAAAATGTTCCATAAACATCTAACAGTTTGTTGCCTTGTGGGAATATTATCAGCTAATTCACGTCTAATTCAGGTGCTTATTGTGTTGTGCCTTGCAGATGGCATGAATACTTTATCAATCCTTCTCATGGGTCTCAACAGGGTTTTCCTCTATAAAGAGGTAAGATTACAGTTTCTTTCATGTCATTTGAGGAGTTTACGCAAGCATCGTGCTTAAAGACAGCCTCGTGCTCAAGTAGTACATTTTCGTCCTTCCTTGTGCAAGTAGTCCAGCCCCCAAGCTAGAGACTGTCCCTCTTTCGCGACATCGCACTTTCGCGACATCGCAGCCGCTGAGAGAACTAGTTCTGACGCCTGCTCAGTTGGAGCGAACGCTTGCTAGATGCTTTCTAACGGATGGCAGCTCAGCTGTTCTCTGTTAAGGCGGCCGGCATTAATCGGAATTGCATGTCCTTTTTAATAACGACGCTCGTGCACATAAATAATTCTGCACACCTTTTACATTTTGTTCATTAGGAGCACATGCAGCCAACTGCAACCCATCTCGCAAGGTAAAACGCGTAAAAATCACGAGTGATGCAATTTTTGTGGTGCAAAAGCTCGACATGCACTAGAAGATGTATGCTACCGTGGCCCCAAATTCGGACGCCGAGATTCTGAAAATTTCGTTTTTGGGCTGTTTTTCGCCCGTGTTTTTGTTGTTTTTCGTATTATTTTCTTTGCATTGGATGATATCCACTACTGGGAGATGCGATAAAGCGATTTGTGAGCCAGGGGTTGCGCAGAAACCACTGGGCGGTGTGGCTGTCAGGAAGCGATTTTGTTTACGGTGTTCTTGAGGGCTCTTCTTCTCTAGGGAATTACTTATCAGCTACTGTTTCTGAACAGCAACTATCCATGAAACTTTTACCGGAGCTGTCTTTACGATTATTCTGAAACGAGAAAAAAAAAACAGGGTTTCTCGTGTTGGTTCAGTACAGATTTAGTTTCCTAAATGACGCCTGGAGTCAAAATGTAGGAGCGTAAGCAACTATACCATTGTTGCGCCGCGGTTGAGGTTCCCCCGGGCATCCGTGCACCGATGGGCTCAACAGCGGTGCGGTTGTTGTGGGGATGATGCCAAAGGCTTGCGCCACGCTGTGGTTCTGCGAAGCGATTTCCCTGTGGCCCTGCTGCCTTAGGTAGGTATTCCCCGGATGGTTAATAGAAGTACCTCGTGTTATGAGACATCCACGTCTAACGTGTCAAGACATATTGCGTTCATGTCTAGTGCGTTTGCCCTCAAGCCATTGTCAGTCAGTGCTTCACAAATCCTACACAAGATGGAAATCAAGGAAAATGAATAGGAATCGAAAAACTGGGATTCCCTAGCCGTCTGCAACACCGCAGACACAGTATGACATAGACAGTGATACTATTAAAACAGCTAGACTGCGAACGACCCGAACAACTCAGCCAAAAGGACGTACCTCTGTTTCACTGCAGGGCATGACAACATCCCTCGATTCGTGCCTCCGGTATGAGACTGAATCCTTGAGTTGGCGATGTCCTCCCATCATTGTGGTGGCGTGGTAAATGTGAAGAGCAGAACAAGCGATTCGGTCACGGCAGGAGCCTCGAAGGCCGTGAGGGAGGAAGATGGCGACCAGACGGCAGGTCGGGAGTAAATAGTTAGCGAGGTTGACTCCCGACCGGGTCGTGACATAAATTCGAATTTCCGTGCAAGGACTGATAGCATCCGCGGTAGCGCGGCAGAACCCAATGCGGAGACGTGAGGACTGTCAAAACGGCGGAGGTGAGAGGATGAGAATTCTGCGACACTCTAGAGCCACCAGACGCGATTACCTGGTGAGTAGAAACCCTTTTGTATGCTTAATGCTTAGCAATCGTGAAGAGTGTGCCACACTCGTTTGCTGAAGGCAATGCTCGCGATCAGTTGAGAATTCCCTCTCCTTCGTGGGCAGGCAGGCTGTCCGCTTTGCCCATTTTCGCGGCGCAAAAGCGACTGAGGCAGCCGACGATGCCAACGTTCACCTCTTCGGGCCGACCCATCTTCGGTGACACTCCCCACCATTCTACTCAGCCGTTCTAACAAACGACCTGTGAAAGAGCACAGGTAGGGACAGTGTTCTCAAATAAAATCAGCAGGGATCAATTGCGGCCGACTATACTGACCAAACGCCAGCTGATCTCGTCCGATTACACACTTTGCTCACCTTCTGCTCGTACAAAAACCATCCCCCCCCAAAGGGTTTTAAGCACCAGCGCCGATTTTTTCCTACGGTTTTTCACTCCTACGCTGACTTTCGTGGCATCTCGGCTTCCTATTTGAGGCGCACTACCCAGAATGTGATCGCTGGCTCTGCCTGTAAAACTGCGTTACAATGGCGTCAAGGTAAGTATTTGTATGTGTCTGCTCGTCCCGCAAACGCCCACACAAAATACCAGCTTGGAACGACTTTGTTATTTGCAGACGGCCGGGACGGCTTTATGAAGAGATGGCTTTCGCTGGCTCTTTCGTGCTCACGTTCTGGAACTTTGAAGGAAGAGAAGGTAGCAGGAAATCAGTAACATGAACTGAACAGGAAAGTTTCGTCATCGGGCCATCAATTTGGTGGCATGAAGCGGACGAGTTCGGATATGATTTTCGCGTGCTGGTGAACTCATCCGGTGCAAACACACGAGTCTCACTCAGAGTGTTTTCGATAGTGTCTTTCGCCCCTTTGTTCATTGTTGAGTCAAGTCGTACCTAGACTTCCGTTTTTGAACCTTTCTACCCGCAACTCGCAGTTGTGTACGCACACGTGTGTCTTCGACTCATTAAATTAGGCAGTGACAAAGTCGTGAGAATTCTATTCTCAATTTCTTGAGATCTTCTGTTATCCTCTCGTGATCATGTAAGAAAATTAAACGGGAATATTTATACTGTTCGGAAGCCTCAAGTCTTCCATCGCTATGCCGCTTCTAGTGACTAAATATGCACGAATGAAGCTCCACCTGTGCTCGATTCTGTAATAAGAATAAATTCAGGTAATTGAGACACACACCATTCCAATAAGGGCATCTTGGGAGTGTGCTGTGGAACCGTGGATCATTTTCAGAGGATACGGTGAGTTAGTACAAAGTTCCAGTACCGCATCTGACGTCGGACCATGTGAAGGCATAAATTCAGTGGCTGAATAGCATGTGTTCAAGACCCAAGACCATACTGAGCACCGGTTCCTTGAGGCACAGCAGTTAACGACCATTTGCTTCTAGCGCGGTAAAGTAAAATGGAGATTTCAGGCGATCTATGGTCTCCAATTGTACAAGTTGCAATGGGAGTAGATCGATGTTTGGCTGTCTTCGATCCAATGCGCTACCGCCACAGATTTACGAAGCGGTAATGAGTTTTGAATTTTGTACTATCTTACAGCTCAAGGGGATTATCAACTTTGCTTTTCTTGTTTAAATAGTTCACTCGTTCAATGACCTTTATTGTTAGGCTTTAGCTGTTGTAACAGCTTCGTCAGACCTCAAATTAGGATTTATCAAGCATACTTGCATTACAAATATTTTGCTGATTTTTAGAGAAAACTAACCGGGTTTGCCAAGTTGACACGGAATCGTTATATTCTGCAATAAAATGTGTGCAAATACTACTCTTGCACAACGTAATAAACAGACGCTTAATCAAACTGCACTGCCTATGCAACTGAAAGTCACCAGAAATGTGACATCGGCTACCGCTAAGATATCAGACTCATTGCTCTCCACGAGTTCATACCTGTTGTTTATTTTGGGGGGGGGAAGACTCTTGATAGCAAGCGCGCCGAAAGCTTCCTTTTCAATGGGCATTCCTGGAGCGGTGCTATTCGGTGACTTTTAGAAAGATTTGCGTGCGGACTCGGAAGTATTCATGGTATGTGTCAGGAGAAAAACATGCTCCAATCGCAATCGTAGGCATCGGTTTTAACGATGGGATAAGCAAGGAGCGCGGGAAGTTGCTTGGTAATCAAGTATCATTTTATCATATCCATAGGTGCGTGCCAACCGCGTTTCGGTTGCTCTCTATTCTCACAGGTATTTCTCCGGTATTTTTGGTAGTTTTGCTATTCTTGCCTGCCCCTGACGGATTCTTGGGACAAGATATTCTGTATTGCTACTCCTTTCGCTGTTACTTTCTAGTACATTGCGACTTTTTCCATTTACGTTGAAGTGGAGTCGTCGCTAGTTCATTGATTCCTCATGCCACGTGGATCACAACGCAGATCCTCCGATCGAGATAAGGAGAAAGACCCCTATGGGCCTCAATGCTGTTAGACCAATTTGCCTCTTGTACAGACAGGATAGAGAAAGCGTTAATGTCATCTATAAAAAGGCTCGTGGATAAGATTGACGAGATTGATGCTCGCCAAAATGAGGTCATTTCCCGCTTGGCTTCCCTAGAAGACTGTATGACTCGTCTTCCAGAATGCGGCTACAATTGATTCCAAAATGTTGTACTCTACTATTGTGAAGGCGAGAGCAGATGGCGAAAAAATAGAGGGGAAGCTCAGGCGCATCACGTGGCATTGCGCGCCGAAGTGATTTCCTTCAATTTGCCCACGAATAGTCATCTGTCTGCTCAGAAACGAACCATTGACTTCGCTAGAGGGGACTATATATCTATCTGTGATCAACTCCTTGCAATAGAATGGCGTACTGTCTTTGACTCCATGGAAAGTATTGATGATTGCTACTTCAGTTTTGTTGATTTTTGTCATTCTCTCATTTCCCGATTCATTCCACAAGCTTACACAACATGAATGCACCAAGGCTTCCTCGTTACATAGAAGATCTTCAGGCTCGAGTTCAGCGACTATTCAAGCGTGGAAATCATCTGCATAATCCACGTTACCTTTACATTACTCGCTTACTCAAAAAGAAAATAGCAAAACTTGAACTGAAGCATGAGGAGCGCATTGCATGCTCTAGGAATAAGAGAAGGTTTTGGAGTTACTGTAACGCTAGACTGAAAGAATCCGGACTAATTAATACCATCACTTCACCGTCTGGTGCAACACTTACAACCTTGAAGTTTTCGCAGCGCATTTTGAATCATTCTACAAAAAGGAAAATTCGGAAACAAATTGGAGTGGGGATGTACCGGTACACAAACTCGATTGGGTGGATATTAATTATGAAAATGTTTTTCGGGTCCTCAGCAAGCTTCCGCTTCGATGCTCTACGTCACCGATGGTTTACCATATATATTTCTCAAAAAAGCTGCAGAAGGGATCACTCCTGCTCTTACACTCCTCTTCAACAGGATACTCTTGAAAGGGACAGTACCGGAAATCTGGCGCTTGGGTCTTGTTAGGCCGATATTCAAAAAAGGTAGTAAGAATGATTTCAAAAACTACAGGCCCGTATGTCTAACCTCTTCAGTTAGCAAGGTAATGGAACGGATTGTGTGTGAGCAAATTAGGAAATTTCTTCTGTGTAAAAATCTTTTGTCGCCATGCCAGCATGGTTTCCTCCCCAAAAGGTCTACGGCCTCAGCGCTTCTCTCTAGTGTCCCAGCTTGGCAGCACACCATTGACAGAAAAGAATCTGTATTCGCTGTCTACATAGATTTCTCCAAAGCCTTTGATTCCATTCCTTTATGTCACTTGTTTTCCAAATTAAAAAGCTTTGGACTTACGGGATGTCTTTTCAATTTTTTGAAGGCGTTTCTTTCTGATAGGCATCAGAGGGTTGTGATCAATGGAACTTGCTCTAGAATATACCGAACGGACAGTGGTGTTCCTCAAGGATCTTGTTTAGGTCCACTGATGTTTATTATGTACATTAATGACTTG